CATTGTTCCTGCAGATGTTAGGAGAACCGGGAAGGATCTGGCTCTGTTCTGTAGACTTGAGAAGCTTGGGTGTTTATCTGTGAAAAGTTTTCTTGTCACAACAAACCCTTGCCTCTGCCAGGTGCGTGGTACAGAACGTCTGCGTGTGGGAATCTAGGTGTGATATTTCGAGCATGGTCAGGTTTTGACTGCTGCCTGCCTCCCATCTTTCTTTTGAACCAGCCAGTTCGCACCTCCAGCTGCAGCTTGCAGAATTCTCAAGGGCTATAGGAAGAAGACAGAGGAGGCCCACTCAAAGCCTGCAGATACCCTGAGACGTGGACAGAAAGCGCATAGAGACTTATGGAAAACTCTATTCCTGACTCTGGGGACAGTTCCTCTCTAAGCAAGAAATGGGAGCCTGACATCTTGACGTTTTTCAATTACTTAACTAAAAACTGACATCGTTTGAAAAAAGCATGTCTCTTGGAATTTCAATATTTACAATGGGGGAATGAAAAATATTCCCTCTGAGGGAAATCCAAGGATATGTCAATACCAGGACTGTGGAGAAATGGGTTTAGCTCTTTGCCAAAAAGTTTGACAATCAGCTGGGGGTTCTACTATTTCAGCCAAAATACTTTTTGGCTGACCAAAAGGTATCCCTGTATGGGAAGGTAGACCTTGACAGTAAGTAGCTTCTCGAGGAAAACAAGGCTTTGGGACTAAAAGGAGTAAGAAGGTGGGTTTGGTTGTGGTCGCATGCTGGTGTGAGCATTTGTACCTTCAGACAAACAAACTATAAGCAGAAGGGACCAGATGAGGCTGGCTAGCCACTGGGCTTCCTGGAAGTCCCCCAGAGGGGAGAAGGAGGTGATCACAGATTGGGCAGGGCAGCATAGTGTGATTCATAGGTATCTCCTGGCCGTGGGAAAGCATGTGCTGCAAGTACAGGCAGGTCCATGTGGTAGCTGGAATGTCATTGGCCCCATAATCTCATAGGGAATGACACTATTAGGAAATGTGGCTTTGTTGGAGGAAGTGTGTCACTGTGAGGGCAGGCTTTGAGGTTTCTTATGCTCAAGGTATCACTCAGTGTCTCAGCTGACTTCCTGTTGCCTGCAAGATATAGGACTCTCAGCTATTTCTCCAGCACCATGTCTGCCTGTGTGCCACCATGTTCTCCACCATGACAGTGGACTGAACCTCTGAAACTGTAAGTGAGACACCCCAATTAAATGTCTTACTTTCTAAGAGCTGCCATGGTCGTGGTGTCTCTTCACTGCAATAGAAACCTTAACTAAGACAGTCCAGAAAGCCCAAAGTGAGGTCAGCATGAACATTTACCCATGGCTTTAAGCCTGGAGTCAATGCCTCAGAGTCTGTCAGAACCAACACCCAGTCAAAGGCTCCAAAGAGAAATTATGTGTCTGAGAAGTTGTGCTGTTGTTCGGTGTTGTCTGTACCTGGAGGAAAGGAGGAAAACTGCACGAGGTGAGTGTCAGGGGTGTGTGCTGGAGAGAGCTCAGGTTTCACAGTCAGATTTCTCATGTGACCTTGGACAGGCTCCTTAACCCTTCTGAGCACTGAGGGCTTCCTTGTGCTATCACCTACCGTGAGAAAACATAGAGACAACATAGGAAGACACTCCAGTGACACATGAGGCGCTGTACCTGGGAACTGTAGGATCCCACAGACATTCAGCAGACATTCCTCTCGCCTCCCAGAAGCTGTACCTCTAAGCCCCTTATACGTCTAGAATCACACTGTCCAATATGCTGGTCTGAACTAGCCCCAAGTGGGACTCAAGTTCTTGAAAGGTGGTCGGTCCAAGATTATACACCAGATTATGTGCAGTATCTTTCCTAATTTCATAGTGACTGCTTGTTGTAAGGGCATTTTAGATGTACAGACTAGAATAAAGCATCTTACTGATATCAATTTTACCTGTTCATACTTAGTTCACTGTGGCTACAAGAAAATCCAAATTAGAGTGGGTCTCCCATTTCACGTCTGTCGGGTGGCCCTGCCCTGCACTAGACTGTGCCTGAAGACAGGCTCCGAGGCTGTGGGCTGGGACTCACTGGCTTTTGACTTGGTATTTTATTAATTTTATGTACTTATTATTTTTACTTTGCAAGGCATTTAAAAGTGTATATGTATATGTGTCTGTGTGAGTGAATGCCATGAGTGTGTGAGTGCCCATAAAGGCCAGAAAGAAAGTGTTGGATTCCCTGGAGCTGGAGTTACAGGTGGTTGTGAGCTTCTTGATATGGGTGCTGGGAACCAAGCTCTGCTCCTCTGCAAGAACAGCAAATACTCTTATTGCTAAGTCACCTCTCCAGCTTCTACTCCCCCACTTATTTTAATCAAAGTCTCAAGTAGGTTGGATTGGCTTACAACTCACTGTGTAGCCAAGATAACCTCGAACTCCTGGCCCCCTTGCCTCTACTGCTAGTGCTATGACTGCAGGCAGGCTTTTGATAAATAGTGTTATCTGGGGCTCAGCCAAAATGATGGGAAGGCACCTATGTTTCCATGGCCTTGTAAGGCACCAGCCGTGGTCCAGGAAATAAAGGAGCTGGCTCCGGCTGGTAGAGTTGGTTCATCATGGCCAGAGGTGACTAGAGAGACAACAGGAGAGGCTGAGGATAGGCCTCTCCCTTCTTGGGCAAGTCTTCTATCGTTGTTCCAGGAGTACAGGCCCTCTCTGCATGTCAGGAGACACCCGTACCTTGTACATGAACTTGGCAGGAAGCACTCACAAACGCAGGTGCAAGGGAAAAATGTTACTTCAGCGGCATCTTTAGAAAACCAAGAGTTTCCAGAGAAGTGAACAGCGGACATCCACAGACACGAGAAGATTCCTTTCCCTCCCCTTCCAGGCAATGTGGCGTGGTGGTTTTTGAAAAGTGTGCGTTTTACCCGACTTTTGTAAGAGGAGAAGATGGACGCTTACATCCTGACCTCCCTGGGGGGGGGGGGCATTGCTCCCCCAGCCAAGTCAGAAACACAAGGACACAAAAGCAGCTACGTATCATGCCACCGTGGCTCTGAGTCCTGACCAGAAGAGACAGTGGGTCGGTTCCTCCCTTTCCCATCCAAAGGCGAGAAGGAAGGTGGCCTTTGGGACCACTTCCTCTGTGGATCACTCGAACAGGATGGATGGGAAGTGTGCAGTGGGAGATTGGAGCAGGGGGGAAAAAGAAGTTCATTTCAGGGGTGTTTTGTTTTGAAGAACGGTCTTGTATAGCCCAGGCTAACTCAAACTCATCATGTAGCCCAGGCTAACTCAAACTCATCATGTAGCAAAGTGTGACCTCAAACTTGGGATTCTCCTGCATCCGCCTCCCAAGTGCTGGGGTCATGGACATGCACCACCATGTCCAGTTCTCTCTGTGCTGAGAATCAAACTCAGGGCCTTGTGCATGCTAGGCAGGCACTCTACCAACTGCGCTATACCCCTGGCCCTAGAAATGTCCTTTCAATGGTTAGTATGACAGAAGAGACATTCCATGGTGCCTAGGCTAGTGTGGAAAATGGATTTTGGTTTCCGGAGACACTAATCTGGTGTTCAGGTAAGTTTATCAGAACTGGCAAATGATTGGTGGGAAGACAGAGGACAGGCAGAAAAGGGGACAGCAACAGGAGACGGAGAAGAGAACGGAGGGAGGAAAGAAGGTGCAGGTGTGGCCGGAGCCACAGAGTCACCTGCAGAGACAGTGTCATGGCTGTGTGTGTTCTTGGCTGGGCTTGAGGCCCAGCAGCTCAGCACCAGCTCTAAATCCCTCAGAACTTTGAAGCATGTTCTCACTGGCCTGCTTTGTAGGCCATGTGACTGGTATGTAGACAAGGGAGTGCAGGCTAGACCAAATGATTGAGTTAGGAAGACAGAGAAGAGGGAGAGGTAGTGTCTGGCTCTGAGGAGAGAGCTGGAAGGCAGGAGACAGAGCCAAGGCACGACAGAGGCAGGCTGGTGCACTTTGTCTAAAGCAGCTTTCCCCCAGATGTGTGGGAGGAGGGTGGAGTTGACGCCCAGATGGGCATGAGCCAAGATGGCCTTCTGCTCCTATTCCATTACCTCCATGGACAGATACTCCACAGGGAACCATGAGAAGGCACCCCTCATCCTGCTGCGAGCACCTTGAACCATCACCTTAAGGAACATGCAAGGTACAAACTGCACAGAACTACCCTACTTGGGGGGAAGACAGGATCATGGAGTAGAAAAACCTCCCCAGGAGGTAGGTAGCCTTGGCCTCTGCTCTGGCTTGGTCACATTAGGCAAGCTTCGTGCTCTGGGGAGAGGGAGGACAGTATAAGGATGGATTGATCCCAGATCCTCCCAAGCTCTCTGGAAGAATGTTTTAAAGACGATTCAGTGTCTGCTTCAAACTTCTAGCATATTCCTGTTGTGCCATGGGAGGGTAGGGACAGCTCCAGAGGTTTGTGTTTCACTCAGGTTATCACCTAGAATTGTGAAGGCCTAGTTCATCTTTGGAAGCCTTCCAGAACCTTCCAAGAACTTTGCCAGGTGGTCCAAAGAGAGAGACAGCCTTTTCCGTGTCATTCAGTGGCCTATTCTCATGGTTCCAGAAACCAGCCTGATAGTCTAAGGTGCCCCCCCAATGCCTCATCTGCTTTACCTAGAGTCCTTTTGATCAGCACAGGTCATGCAGATTTCCAGGAAAAGGGGCCACATCCTCAAAGTAAGATCCCTTCCACCCCCCACCACAAAGCCCTTTCTCGGGCCCCCCTGTAGCTTGGGGTTAACTTTCTAACTCAGTCTGTTCTGCTGAGTGTGGGTGTCGTGTCTGGGAAACAGAAAACTGGGTCATTCACACACCCAGGGCAGGCTATAGGGCTGGTGAAGGATTATGGGGTCTCTGGGCAGGGGCTTCTACAGAACACCGAGAGTCTTGTTGACTCCCACCCCACCCTCACCTCACCCCTCCTGCCTGCTGGGAACACACTTTCACAAGTAGAGGACACTCTTGATTATCCACAAGAATGAAGAGGAGTCTGGGAAATGGAAAAATAAATTAAGAAATCAAAACAACACTGGATCCATAAGCAATCCAAAGCCGCTTGCTTGTCGCTACATTTGTGAATAGAGAGGCAGTGTGTTGCCTCTCCAAACACTCAGGGCTCAGTCTGACACTTGAGCGAGTCCCATTCCCTGAGCACACCCCGCTGGGTGGTGGGGACAGGCCTGGGAAGGTGACATGGGGAAAGGGTACAGCTGGGCAGAAGGACATGAGGCTGTTGACAGGGAGACAAGACTGTCCCTGGATGTAAACATCACCATGGAAACTCCACAAATACTCGCCAGTGCTGACTCTGTCCCCTTCCTCTCCCACTGAGAGTGGGAGGAAAGGTGATCCTACCCCGGCTACACAGTACTTTCCATTACCCATTCTGAGCTGCCAAATGTCCCCCGGGCTCCCACCAGGTCACTCTCCTCAAAGGGTAAGAGCATGCCATTGACAGACAGGCTGCGCTTCGTCCAGATGTTTGAGACCCGCCTAGGGGGGCTGTAGCCACCAGGAGCAGCTGCGGCTGCAGCTGCGAAGTCTCCCATGTCAAAAGAGTGGCTTCTTTTGGCCTTGCCCTCCAGGGGCAAAGGGAGAAGGCTCCTGGCACGGGTGGCTGGGGGCCCCAGGAGTGGCTCTCGGTCTGAATGGTGGCCCCTGGCCGATGTCCCTGCCCCTCTGCCTGCTGGAGTCCTGGAGTCTAGAAGTTCTTCTTTCCTTTGACTCTTGAGGTCCAGGGAGGCAAAGGCTCCCATCAAGCGGTCCAGGCTGGGCTTGGGGCGAGGAGCAGGGGGTGGGAGCCTCCAGGGACCCCGGCTCAGACCTGCAGCTTCCCCGCTTCCCAGGGAGCTGGAGGAAGAAGAGTCACAGGCCCTGGCCAGGCTGGTACTGAAGTCCATCAACTCATTCCGCACTACAACCTTGGGTGGTGCCTGAGGAAGCTGCCCGACAGGTATCCCACCCAGAGGTGGAGGCTGGGCCCCATTGGTCTGTGAGTACACATTGCTGACAGTGGCTGCTGCCATCTTGCCTGGGGTGTCGTGGTTGCAAACCTTATACCGGACCATGAGGATGACGATGAAGACCAGCAGGGTGGCCACAATGATACCCCCGATGATCAGAATCATGGTGCCCCCCAGGATCTGGCTGTGCATAGATTGGCATTGTGGGTAGTCAGCCTTGGTGAAGAACTGGGCACAGCCCACAATGTTGGTGGCCGTGAGGGTCGTGGCTGTGTCGTCCCACATGGCCAGCACACACAAGTCGTAGCCCGTCCCGGACACCAGGTTGTTGACCACGAAGGCCTTGTTGGAGGCTGGGATCATCCTGGGGAGGGAGGCAAACACAGAGAGTCAGAGAGGGTGGGGTGATGGGGGGGGCGCAGGCAGATATAGAGTGATAGAGACACATGCAGGTCCACTGCAAAGGATGGCAGAGACTGGAAAAGACGGAGACAGCGAATAAGCAGGGATGAGGAGGGAGAGAGGGGAGGAGTCAAGAGTTAGGAGTGTGACACAGAAAATGGCGAAAGAATGATTGACATGTGATCCGGAAGACCTAGGTGACAGGCGGGGTGAAAGAAAATACGAGAGAGAAATATTCTGGGATGGAGTGTCAGAGAAAAGGAAGGAGACAGAGAACATTCTCTCGAGGCTTGGTTAAGTAAGCGCCCAAATGAATTTGAAGGTGAAGGGAAGAAAAATGGTAGCTGAAAGTATGGATGAGGGGAGACATCAGACATGGGACAGAGGTGGAGCTGGTGGCGGTGGGTGGGCGATAGAGGGGAGTAAAGTCACCTGGGAAGGACAAGGAGGACTCAGGAATTAGTGGGGTGGCTGCCCCTCCCCCACATCTGTTGCTAACATCCCTCCACCCATCCCTTAACACACTAGGGGCATAGGAGATCCTGGAGACCTCTCCGGGTCCTTTGCTTTGGGAATCAGAGCCCAGGTCCTGCCCTGAGTCTGCACTCAGCACCTCTCTCCTGCAAGGGTCCTCCTGGTGGGGAGAGAGCAGTTCCTGTTTCCAGTTGAGCAAACATGTTGCTCAGAGTGGGAGACAGTGACCCCTTGAAGTCCAGGAAACTACCCTGACTCCCAAGGGGCACGCACTCTGTCCCTGCACCCCACTCATGTTACATCCAGTCAGCACACTGGCTCATCCAAGAGACCTGTATCAGAGTTCCTGGAGAGGAAGGCCTTGCCTGGTCCCTCCATTTTTGAGGAAGGATTGACAGGTATCAATGTCCCCACATGGGACCTTGTCCGTGGCAGCCTGAGCTCTCCTTCTGGAATCCTGGGAACAAGCTGATCTCTAAGACCTTTGCCGTGACCTCCAGTTTCTGTTCTGCCCAGAGATGGATTCTGGGCCACTCCCATAGGCAATCCAATCCTGCAGAGAGGTCAGCCTCAACATAAGGACACCCCCTGCAGCTTTCCTGTACCCCATTTTCACCTATAAAGCCTTCCACCCTCCTGCCCCTTGAGAACAAAATGGCTCCATCGGCTCCCATCATCCTCTCAAACTCAGAGCCAAGCAACATAATTAAGATATCAGATATGAAATACCAGCGCCTGAAGTCTTCCACCTGAGAACCTGCTGGGAGGACTGAGCAGACAGCTATTGGCAACCCATCAACCCCTGGGGGCTGCTGTCTTTACCCACGCAGCTTGGGAGCTCCCTTAAAGGAGATCCTCCAAGTCCTGTCTCTAGCCCTACCCCACAGGGCATGGGATGGAAGAGGCTAGCACAAGCAGCCAGCTAGGTCCTGCAGACCAGCGCCTTAGGTCTGTCTGGGACTTTGCAGCCTTCTCTTTATCCAGACATCATGACCACAGAGCAGCAACTGTGCTCTTACCTCACAGAGTAGGGAGAGATGGCTGAGGATCAGAGAAGTTAGACGTTTGCCCAAGGTCACATAACTAGGACCAGCTGCTGACTCACTGACAGATACTGGAATCTGTTTTCTCCTTTCATTGAGACAATTCTCTATTGGGGGTGTCAAGATGGCTCCATGGGTAAAAGAGCTTGCTTCCCAACCCTGGAACCCCCAGAAGGGTGGATATAGAGAATCAACTCTACAATATTGTCTTCCACACACGAGCCATTGCATATGTGCGTGTGCACACATACACACATTAATAACAAATAATTGTAAAGAAATGCAGCTTTCCATTACATTTTATGTATTTATTTTGTGTACGGAGGGGATGACGCTTGCACGCCATGCTGTGTGTGTGGAGGCCAGAGTCTGTTATCTCCTTCTATCACAAGAGACCTGGAAATGCACTCAGGATCCCAGGCTTTGTGACAAGTATCTTTACCCCCAAGTCATCTTGCCAGGCTATAAATAAAGTTTTTTGTTGTTTTAAGTCCTCAATGCCCTGGAGCTGATCACACACACCCATTTCTCCAGAGCACTGCTCAGCATCCTCTGCAGCTCGTGACCACCTAGAAGATTCCAAGCCTGAGCAGGATCCAAGGATAGGGCCTAGTGTTGCCACTGCTGAAGGACTGCAGGAGACACTGAGGCTCACCAGCTCCTTCTCCTGGGGTCCTGTGGTGCCGGTCAGAGCAGCAGGACCTAGTGCCAGTAAGAACAGAGCCCGCTGGCAGCTGTGGAGTAGGCAGTCTGACCAGCTCCTTGTTTGTTCTCTGCAGGGCTTCCTCTCAGGATCCTCACTTTGCATATGGTGAGGCAAAGCCACACCCGGGCCAGGCAGGGAAGCTATGGGCCATGTTGAGTCAAGTCCTGTACTGTGACACCAGCTGAGGGAGCTGCAAGAGTCCACCCCGAGAGGAGGGGATTGTGTCCTGGGACACCTGCTACAAAACACAACTTTCCACACTTACTGTGTCTAACCCTACCAGCCCTAGGACATGGGATCACGAGCCCAGAAGTCAGCTTAAGATTAGCTATGTTTAGGGAAACAGAAATGACTCTGCTGTTGGTACAAACAACCATACTGGCAGAGGGGAAAAAGAGGGTTTGACTCAGTGGTAAAGAGAGCTTACTGTTCCTGTAGAGGACCGAGTTCAGTTCCCAGCATCCATGTCAGGTAGCTCAGAACTGCCTGCAGTTCAGCTCCAGGGGATCTGACACCCTCTTCTAGCCTACTTAGGTATACACACACGCACACGCACACACACACACACACACACACACACACACACGCGCGCGCACGCACGCACACGCACATGTAGCTAAATCAGAAAACCTGGCTGGCAGAATCAAGTTTACCTTTCCTAGTAGTAGCTGCCAGCTTTCATTGGGCCTTTCTGCGTGCGTGGAGGTCTATGCACATCGTTTCATTCAACCTCCTGACACCTTGAAGGAGATAATGACTGTCTGTCACTCCCACTCAGAGAGATAGGAAACTGCTCTTCCCTTTAGAGAAATGATAGAGCCAGGGATCCTACTACTGTGTGTGTGTGTGTGTGTATGTGTGTGTGTGTGTGTGTGTGTGTGTGTGTGTGTGTGTGTGTGTATGCGTGTGCGCGCACATGCATAGATACATAGACATGTGTGTATGTGGAGGCCAGATGTAAACCATAGGTATTGTTTCTAAGGTGACTTGCCCACCTTGATTTTTGAAATAAGGACTCTCATTAGCTGGGAATGCACTGGTGAAGCTAGGTTAGCTGATCAGCAAGCCCCAGGGATTCTGTTCTCACTGTTCTCCGATTGAGCTTTTCACGTGGTTTCTGTGGCCTGAACTGGTCACTTCAACAACTGAAGAAATTCCCCCCAGTCCCAGAAATGCTATTCTTATTAATCCAAAGCAAGACTTACCTGTCTCCAGGCTTGAAATGGAGCTCATCTCCTACCTGTGAGTTTTTACATACCCCAGCATGCTCCCCTATAAAAGCTATCCAGTCATTCTTGAAGCAAGTCCAGAATTCTGGGGTCCCCCTACATTCCTACCCATACCCCATCACTCAGGTAGCTCTACCAGCTAAACAAACCTTCCCAATGCCATACTCAGGCATTTTCACTTTTGGACCTGGAAGTAAAATAACCTAGCTCCTGAGATGCTTGGCAAGGGTCGAGAATTACCTGTGACTCACAAGTGGCATCAAAGTTCCTCATCAGAGATTCCAACCTTGACTAACTCCACCCTCTGACTTCTTGCTCAGGTAAGAGCATTCTAAGTCAGTCAGGGCCTGGAGGGGCAGAGGCACAATCTAAAGCCTAGTTTTTAAGATGGAATGATAAAGCTGGGGAGGTTACTCAGGAGTTAAAAGTTCATACCGCTTTTGTAGAGGATCTGAGTTTATTTCCCAGCTTGCATATGGGATGGCTAACAGCAACCTGTAACTCCAGCTCCAGGGCATCCAATGCTCTCTTCTGAACTTCACAGGCAACTACACTCACGTGTACATAGTAACACACACATAATTTAAAAAAACTATCAGTGATTCTTTAAACTTCATGTCATGACCACCTTATGGGATCATTTAACATATAACTGCAATGACTGTAATGAACATTTCAGCAACACCTGAATGTTTCTGAACACACACTAGCCTCAAATTAATTCAAAGTCAAATTCACAATGCATTCAATGTGTTTCTGGCAGCATTCACCCACGCTGCATCATGTGACACTGAAGCCTTGATTCTGAACACCCAATGTGTGCACACTGCACTGTCTGAGTTGTCACACCAAGCACAGCCAACAAACTGCCTGGGACACCTCAGACCAGGCTATAGTATATTTTAGTGTTTTTTTTTACTATACATACAGAGATTTCTGCTCTATTGAAACATACTGGTTTAATTATAGAAAGCAAAAACTTACTATTTTCCTCCCATCCTTGCCCAGCATGTAAGTATCAAATTACATATCTTTGGATTGTATTGTGTTTGATTTTAAAAACTGTTGTTTGAGCTACTGGCTTGAGTTTCATGAAAACTCAAATTAAATGATTTTTTTTGGCTTGGGATTAGGACAGAATTTCTGTCAATTTCTTTTGAAACGGCCGTAAATATCCTTCTGCCATTTTATATTATGTATTTATGCAAAGTGGCATTCTCAGTGTTGTAGATTACAAAATCAAAATATCAATCAGCTCTCAAAAATGTTGAAGATGCTCCACATCCTCCACTATCAAATATTCAGCCAAGATTTAATTCTTCATTTAAAAATAAACAAGCATATCCATCTCATTAGTATGCAAATTTGCTTTGCTCTTCAACACATGGTAAAATTGTATATATACCAAGGAATTGTTTAAAAATCAATTTCTTCATGGTCTTTTATCAATAAATGTTTGATTTCATATCTATTTTATATACCTACATACCTGAAATCATGTGATTTTCTC